TTCTTTTTCTGTATTTTTCGCCACGACATCCGTGTTGTTTGCTAGTATTTTCAGCCTCTATATTTTATGCTGCAATATTCTGTCTAATATTGCTAATATAACAGTTTATATTTACCATTATATGCAATATGTAGCGTGTCAACATCCTGGTTTCTATTGTTAAAAACCATAAAACCATCTCTATAATTAACACTACTACGGTACTTCCTTAGTGGCGTTTTTCGCGGTTTCAGTTGACGAGAGAACGTAGAGTTTAGTTTATGATCCCAAATGGTCAGGGAAAAAATGCTTACCGTACTCGCGCGAATAAGCGCCTGGGGCTGGGCGCTTAAAATATTTTTTTGCACTTTCTGAGGGGCGCTTATTCAAACGGCGCGCTTATTTAAACGGGGCGCTTATGAAAACAGAGTGGAAATTGAGGGGGGGCTTATGGAAATAGATGAAAATCGAGGGGTTCTTATGGGAAATTATTAAATTCAAGAGGCACTTTTTGAATGAAAAAGACAGACAAACATTTTACGAACGCTGCAATTTCATTATTATTATTATTATTATTATTATTATTATTATTATTATTATTATTATTATTTCTATTGTTATTACTATTATTATTGTTATTTCGTGCTTACACCTTGTTTATTTGCGCCTTATAAATTGACTTATTATTATTATTATTATTAATATTATTATAAAATATAGATTTTTTTTTCATTTTCTAATCAACATTACAAGTTCCCTTTTTGAGTTGAGCAACCAAATGTTGATTGAAATCAGTACACGTGCGACTGTGAAGTTTCATTGAAACCCGCCCTCGAGCATGCAGAAAAAAATCGCCTGCATTCGTGAATTCTGTATTTAGGCATATGGGGGGAGGTAGGCACTCTTAATGGAGCGACGTTCTAGTTCTCTTTATACTAACCACGAATATGTATAGTAAGGGTAACTGATTGGCTTACAGTAAACCGTCAAACTAGCGTAATATAACCACATTTAAACTCTAATTTAACGAAAACAATAAGATACTTATTAGGCCACTTTTTAAAATAAAGTTGTCTGAAGGTTAACTACAATATTTACAGTACACTGTAGTTAATGTGTTATAGGTTGTAAAAACTGTATTGAGTAAAAAAAAATATTTCGAATAAAAAAATCTTTCGCTTGACATTATTAGGAATTAATCATTTGTGAAACAAATAGGCTATGTCAAGTGTTCTATTGAACAGTGGCAGATTCAAGGGGAAACCCAGTCAGCACGGGACCCCATCCCGTTTTTTTCAAAATTATTTTTTAAAAAATGGAGAAAACAAACAAAATTGTATTCAACTTTTAATCTGAGAGTGCCATTTCCGGCCATCTAGAGGTGCCATAATCATATTTTTTCTTACCTCAGCCCCAACAGTTGTGGGGCTTAGGCGGGTGGACATCTATTAACGCAAGACTCTCCCTGGAACCCCTCTATTTCGACTTCCTGGACCCGCCACAGTTGGAGTATCATTTCTGAGCTACATAGAAGGATAATTTTTATCCATTGGGGGAAAAGTGAAGCGCGTTCAAGGGGAGGGGAGAGGCTAATTCAATTTTTTGTTTAATTCAAATTTTATGTCTGGAAGTGCAATTTCCGGCCATCTAGAGGTGCCAGTAATCATAAATTTTCTTACCTCAGCCCCGACCATGGTGGGGGTTAGGTAGTATGGATCTTCTATCTGTGAAAATACCCTCCCTGGGCCCTTCTATTTCGAATTCCTGGATCCGCCACTGGAAATTACAACAAATATGAAATCATATTACAGTAGCTTGATGCCTATAAAATAATTTATAAAATTCACCAAACTTCGTAATATCCGTAGCTTCCAGGGGGCGGGGCCCCAGCCTAGATGCTCGCTTCGCTCCCATACTCGACCTTATGAAATTCCCCCCCCCCGCCCACTTTCAAAAACGTTCCGCCGCCGTTGCCTTGAGTTTGCCATTGACGTTGTACAATCCACCAGTATTTCTTGAATTATAAAGTTTACGGCAATAACAACTTTTATTACGCATTTCATAAGATTTTCAGGATCACTACGGAACCAAGATTTCTATATTGTAGGTGTATCCTCTACTCTAATTCAATTCAGATAATTCTTTTTTATCTATGTAAATAATATTTTGTCTGTATTTGATAAGAGCAATAAAATAAAACAAATAACAATACCATCACATGTATAGATAGGCCTATATTATATACATCACATGTTTAAATATGTATATAGATGTATAGATATGAATTGTTAAACTGATTTTACTGATTAACTGTTAGTAGTTTAATTTATCGTGTTTTAAATATTCAAAATAATAATTATTATGAATGAATATTATTTTAAGCCCGTTTTATTTTTTAAAATCATGTTAAAAAAATATTCACATTAGATATTTTAAAAAATGGTTCCGGTAGAAAACGAACCCACGACCTCCAGATGAAAACCACTACAAATGCTATTAAGATGTGTTTGCCTCAGGAAATATCATAGGAATGAATTTTTTTTAAAAAATAATATTTAACTTTAACACAATTGATTTCAAAGCAAACTACACAGCATCCGGTCCCTTACTAACAGTGTTTCGAAACGCAAACGTGAGGCAATATGCTAAAAATGAAATAATAAGTCTGCAAAAAAGATAAAATTAAAAATCATAATTTGCGATAGGACAGCTGCATAGTATACATTAGAATATTCCTATGAAGAAATGATTTTTCCATGATTCTTCCTAAGCCAGGTGATGAGACATTTCCTCGAACGATTCTTTCCAAATAACCAGGCATAGTATCAACTATTTCCTTATTGCGTTTCGGCAAGTCAGCCGCGTCTGTTTTTATACGTAAGTAAGTAATATTCATTGCTTTCCATGAAATCATTACAAAGAAGAGACAAAATATGATCAAAGTGGGAAAGAATCAGAAAGCTTCCTTAAACCCACCCCATCCTTAAATAAATCAATTAGGAGAGGACAAACCTTGCCCGAAGACTTGTTTCAGAAGGGTTCGTATCGCGACAAGAAAATGATTATCACTTTAAGTATTAGTAATAGGAATATTTTGAATAATATCGATGTCGATAGCAAAGTGTTTTATTTTACAACCATATCTCCATTTTTTTTTATTGTTAAGTTTAGGCCTATAGGGTCGAATCGTACCGCTTTAATCTTCACACGAAAATGCTGTGTTAAACAACAAGCGTTCTACAGTCTAAACATGCCTATTGATATAATATTGTTTGCGAACAACTCAATACAATTCTAAAAAATGAAATTAAACTATTTTAATTGCTTATCTATTATCAGCGTCCGTTGATCAAAATGCACAAAAAATCATCATCATAAAAAGCCACTCTAACTCACGGCATTCCCATACTCCAGTTCCGGAGCACGGTACTTCTGCGAGCACGCCACTCTCGAAAGCGTCAATCCCTGGTAAAGAGAATTATTCATGTCAAATAATATATTGAGGAAAAGTATATAGTTTACCTATAGTACAGATAATCTTTAATATGTTATTACAATATACTATAGAAACACGTTGATGCACACTGATTTGACACGTTCATGACAACCAGAAGCTTTTTGGTGATTGAACTTGCAGATATTATACGTTGTCAGAGGATATATATGCCTATACAGAGTCGACAATAGATAATACTGAGAGTGTAATGTTAGTTTCGGTCAAATAGTAAAACCCATGCAGAATATGTTTTATACTAATAATAACATAACCGTTTTATAGGCTATTATGATTTCACAACTGATGAACAATTTATTGCTATTTTTAATTATACTCACTATCCAAACATATAAGTATTTCCCTGTCTGGATTCTCTGCAGATATTATTCTCCTGAAGACGATTGAAGCAAATCCATCGAAACGTCGAGACATTATCAACAAACAACAGTTCTTTTCAGAACTATTTACGTTGTACCGTTAGCATTAAATATATTATTATTATTATTATTATTATTATTATTATTATTATTATTATTATTATTATTATTATTATTATTATTATTATTATTATAAAGTATTATAATTTTCGTTATAATTATCATTATCATTATTATCAATATTAGATGATTTAATATATATCACTTTCGACTCAGCTTAATGTATGAGCGTAGCTCTTTGGGCATGTTTACAGCTTTATAATACCCCTCGGCAAAATCGTGATGACGTCAACATTCGGTCTATTGGTGCAAATTGTTTGGTATTGAATTTAAGAATTGAGAGAAAATAGTTGGTTTCGATAAAATAGTAAAAACCCAGCAGAACATGTTTTATACTATTAATAACATTACGGATATATTTGGATTTTACAACTGATAAACACGTTATTTCTATTTTTAATTATAACTTATTATTATTATTATTATTATTATTATTATTATTATTATTATTATTATTATTACTATTATTATTATTATTATTATCATTATTATTATTAGTTGTTATAATAATAATTATTGTTATTCTTATTAGTATTATCATTTTCGTTGCCGTTATTATTATCATTTTCGTTGTAATTATCCCATCCTCATTATCATTATCATATGATTATTATTCTCATTATCATTATCGTTATCATTACTATCATTAACGTTATCAATTTCAATTACCATTATCATTATTATAATTATTATTATCATTAAAATATGTATTATACAGCATATAAAAAGAAGGAAATTATTTGATGCAAAATATTTAGTATTTATAAGAATTAAGAGAAAAATAAGGAATTATAATTTGTTATCATATATAAATCATTATATTTCCAGGTGTTTTTTTTTTAATTTCACAATTACGTCATTAGTCGAGACTTCCATAGCGAAATGAGGTTTACAATGTGGTTATTTTTATCTCGGCGGCCCGTAACATGTATTAATAGTAAAATGACCGATCGCGCTCTTTCTAAGTACTCTGAATATTCATTCGAAGACAATCTGGGGAAATTATAAATGTGACAGAATATAAAGGTGGGTGGAACATCAAATCTCATCATATTGCTCCTATCTACGAACCTGTCACAAGCTTCTTGTTTAGACGGATTCTAGTCGACAGTGTTTAAATTATATAACCGAGTTTCATTTGTATTCAATAATCCATCAAAATGTTCAGTAAGGTTGAAATGCCAAGCGATGCGTTCTCGGGAAAGTCGGTGGGGGAGAAACGACAGTCCCCGACAAGAATAAACACGAAGACCGCATTGCTGGGACTCCTTTTGTCGTTTTTGGTTGGTGTAGTAATCGTGCAGACGGTATATTTGAAGCAAGTTGCACACAGGCTCGAAATTGTGGAAGAAATCGCATGGTTGAACACACAGACTATGGGTACAGAAACAATGGTAAGTTACAACTAAATAATGATATTGATAATAATAATAATAATAATAATAATAATATTGATAATGATATTGATAATAATAATAATAATGATAATGATATTGATAATAATAATAATAATAATAATAATAATAATAATAATAATAATGATGATGATAATAATAATAATAATAATAATAATAATAATAATAATAATAATAATAATAATAATAATAATAATAATAATAACAACAATAGCGGAACAATAAAAAGAGCACTAATAATAATAACAAAACTATAAGAATAATGATATTTTATATAGCGTCATTTCATATGATCATTTTCGCATAATAAAACAAAAAATATAAAATTTTAGAATATTACAAAATTTATAAATATAAAAATAAATAATTGGCCTAGGTCAGCTTAATCGGAGATTAGCCGACCTAGGCAAATTCTCTATTATGCCACATTTAAACGTTTGATCATTCGATGTATATTTAAAGTAAGCAAGTGCCTACCATCAAGCTCCAAGCAAAAAAAGTGTTGCATAACATTGTTATCAAAATGCTCCATCGATTCTCGTAAAACAAAAGCTTTAAATAAGCCTAGTTGTGCCTCAACTACCCTTGATGCCCATGACGAATGGCAAAGTACGCTAATCTTGTTGCTCATACTATTTATAAATAATGATTACTATGTTTCTCTAAGTGTTTTTTGTCTTAACAAATCTAACATCCAAATATTGCAACCACTCTCCAATAATACTTCCATTATAACTGATCAGAACCATAAACAGAATCATTAAATTTTATGTTACCACTCTCGAAGAATACTATACCAACCTGATATCATAAAGTATAAATAATAAACTACATATTATGTTTGAATTTGTGATGTGTCTTTCTTAAATTTCACTTACTTGCTTTGTACTTTTAAAAATTATTTGTTCCAGTGTCGCTTTTCATCTAGTTATGAAGCAGTTACATTGCCAAATATTTTCTACTAGCAATAATAATAATAATTATTATTATTCTAGTATACAAGTAATAGTTTGTATTATGTTTGTCAGTCAAAAAATCTTATTTATACTGGCAATAATTTAAAATATTTATTTTTAATAAAATATTAACAATAATTTGAAATATATTGAAATGTTCAATGTATATATGTACGGTATATATTTTGTTAAGTTCAAAAGAATGTTTTAACGTTGACCATTTATTACCAGGACAACTTTTCAAAAAACAGTACATAATGCTCTATTATGTATTGTAATATTGGATATACAACTTTAATGTTTTCCTGTTAAAATAATTTATAAATTAAAAAAACCTAAATTCATCTGGTTTCTTGGCAATTATTGCTCATTCCTTTTGAATGAAACTGAAATTATCCTTGAACCGATACCGATGTTATTTTAATCCACAATCATAAGTGTCAAAGCAAAATAATAATATTAATAATGATAATGATAATGTTGTTATCAATAATAATTTTATATTATAATTATTCTAACAATAAAACGTTATCTGCAGCAGTCGTAGAGGGCGCTAGATAACTATATTTTCGTTTATGGTTTGGAATATTATTTTTAAAAGGATAGGACAATATTATTATTGTTATAATTATATTTGTGTTGCTTTAGTTTATTATATCCTTTTGTCTTGTTTTTATTAGTATCATTGTATTGTATTGTTTACTAATTTCATTATTAATATTATTGGCTTTTCCCGCACCAATTTTTTGAGATCCCAGACGTAAAAATCTATAAAAAGTTTTCAATGGGTGTAAATGAAACTTTCTATAAATAGTTTGTTAAAGTCCAGTAAAGAAATGACTACATTTTTGTGATGATCCGGCGTAGGGTGATATGGCAACATTTTTATTTTCATTTTCTGACTACCTATGAATGGCAAGGAATATATTATTATATATATCCCTCCATTCAATTCCACAAGCCATTCAATTCCAAAAGCCATCGTTTTTGGATTTTCCGCAGCCCAGAAGAATTTTTTCTTTCTGACATTTGGTTTTTCCAGTACTATTTATTTTATATTGCAACATATTTATTTTCATTTCCTGACTACCTATGAATGGCAAGCAATATATATATCCCTCCATTAAATTCCACAAGCCATTAAAAACAGTGATCTGAATGAAACATTCGGAAAAAATTATTAGGAAGAAATTATTATGTGTTGGCGACGATTCAGTCAAGGGTGTAAATTTGATGGTCATTTCAATTTTTGAGGACCCAGACCTAACTATCTCTTTTTAAAAAAAATCAATGGGTATAATTTAAACCTTATATAAAAGTTTGTCAAGGTAGAGTAAAGAAATGATTACATTTTTGTGACGATCCGGAGTAGGGTGTAGATCTGAGGACCATTGAAAGAAAACGTCCCAGACAAGATATTTAAAAAACTGGTCAACTGATCCGAATGAAACTTTCGGGAAAGTTTAACCCAAGTTACAAGGAAGATATTATGTGTAGGGACGATTCAGATTAGGGTGTAAATTTGAGGGTCATTTAAATTGCTTACGTCCCAGTTATAGATGGATAAAAATGACACTTTGCAGAATAGTTTTTCATGGTGAAATGAAGAAATAATCCAATTTTGGTGACGATCCGCAGTAGGGTGTGGATATGAGGACCATTTTAAGATGTTTTTGTTGACAGTTGATTTAAATTATTTAAACGCAATTTGCGTTTTCTAAAGCGCTTAAACCAGTTACAGCTACGTTAAACTCAAAACTACCGTGATATGCATGAACAATTATTTATTATTGTTAATAATTATTATTGTTATATTCTTATATTATCATTATTATTATCGTATTTATATCTTTGTTATGTAAAGATTTATACTTGTTTATCTTAAGTACATTACGTTATCTCATTATTTATATTGGCTAAAGTGTGTTATTTTCACAATTTAAAATATCTTTCACAGACTTTGCATGAAGCGGAGTCGACCAACAACACAAACAGGAACAGAAGTAAGTATAACAGACATTCCGGTGTCAATTAGACGTACTGGCCAATTACAACACTGCTACTAATACGCTATTGTCTTGTGTACGTTTACTGTATCGTTTTTCGAGACTTTAACAACAGAATCTATTATTAAGGGACGGGATTTAAATGAACGATTTATTAGGTCAAAGACTTAATTCTACCACCTACATTACGTAAACAAAACAAGATTTTTAATAGATGAATAAAACCTATTTTTACATTACGGTAATTTTACTTTAAATTTTACAGAAAGAAAAATATAATTAACTCTCTAATACCAACATACATACATACATACATATATCGTTTGTCTTTCTGCTTAATAGGGTCAGCCAGTGTATCGGGCTACCAGATACGTCACAGCAGTATGGTACCGGTAGGTTTTCTATACAAAATGTGTATTTACCGACTAAAACTCTAAATTGCCTATACTTAAAATAGGGTTGGAGTGCGCACTCACCAATCTATTATTAATACGAACACGAACAATAATGATGTAATGCTTAAATAGAGTCCTCATAATTCCTGAATTTTTTTAAAATCTTTAGAATGAACAGAATGCACCGAGTTTGCCGTCTGCTCACCTCGTTGCCAACGTAGAAACAAGTGTTGCTGCAGGTACGATATCAATCAAACAACCTACCAACCAACCAACCAACAAGTCAACCAGTCAGACAGTAAATCAATCCATCAATCAATCAATCAGTCAGCCAGTCAGTCAATCAATCAGTCAATCAGTCAGTCAGTCAGTCAGTCAGTCAATCAATCAATTAATCAATCAGTCAATCAGTCAGTCAGTCAGTCAGTCAGTCAGTCAGTCAGTCAATCAATTAATCAATCAGTCAATCAGTCAGTCAGTCAGTCAGTCAATCAATTAATCAATCAGTCAGTCAGTCAGTCAATCAATTAATCAATCAGTCAATCAGTCAGTCAGTCAGTCAATCAATCAATCAGTCAGTCAGTCAGTCAGTCAGTCAATCAATTAATCAATCAGTCAATCAGTCAGTCAATCAGTCAGTCAGTCAGTCAATCAATTAATCAATCAGTCAATCAGTCAGTCAGTCAGTCAATCAATTAATCAATCAGTCAATCAGTCAATCAGTCAGTCAGTCAGTCAATCAATTAATCAATCAGTCAGTCAGTCAGTCAATCAATCAATCAATCTCAAAAGACACTTTTTTATGAAACTGAAAAAGGAATTTTTTGTTAAATGTTAAATTATTAGGCCTACACAATCTTATGTTCTTACATTAGGTCACTGTTATTATTATTTTTTTATCTAGGCCTATTTGTTTATATCGTTTATTGTGCTATGTAGCAAAATTAATTTTGTTAATATTTTGCTATAACATAACTTCTCAGCTGCGATTTACAAGCTAGATTCTAGAGAAGATAAGCGAAGAACTATGCTTGATACAATATCTCATCATATGTTTCTATATTCGAGCATGCAATTATCTGTTTTAACATATATATAAATAATACATACCGTACTAGCGCAAATAAGCGCCCAGTTTGAATAAGCGCCCCCTTCAATTTATTATATAAGATTTTCTTTTTAGCAAGTCAATAATCCAATCAATCCTAGGACTGTGGTTGTTGGCATGATTTGAGCTGCATAGTGGAATACAATTCTTCTTAGGTTAATATCAAAATGAGGATATTTCTCTTGGACTGATGAGAGCTCCGATCCCTGGACAGACAGTATATTTCCAACTTAACTTTTCTCTTCTTATTTTTTTTTTTTATATTTGTCTAGGCCTAGCCCTACTCCTCTTTTTCTTTTTCCGGCAATTTGCACCTTTAGCACATTCTCATTTGCGTTTTCAAGAAACCCTGCAATGATCCTGCCATCCTGCTAATCTCAATCGGCCGATGGCCAACAAGCTAACCGCTACCCATCACCACTAAATGCATCTGCTATTCTGCTGTTATGTAAATATTCACAGCACGTTCTCTGGAGGATTATCTTTTCCGCTGCACCACCATTCGTAATGTTTTTATATATAGGCCTAATCATTTAAAAAAAAATGCCTCTTGAATTTAATAAGTTCCCATAAGAACCCCTTGATATTCATCTATTTCCATAAGCCACTCTGTTTTCATAAGCGCCCGTTTAAATAAGCGCCCCGTTGGAATAAGCGCCCCTCAGAAAGTGCAAAAAAATATTTTAAGCGCCCGGGTGCTTATTCGCGCGAGTACAATACTATTCTAAAATATAAATATAAATTTGTACAGTGTATATACAGTAATATATATTACCACAAGTAAAGAGAGGGCTTCTTTTCAAAATGAATGCTGTAAATTTTGTGAATTTGTACTATAAAACAATAAATAAGGCCACTGTAACATCAATCTATACCATGAATTGTATTTAAATGGCATTAAATCACCTAAACTACTTTATAAACCAAGCTTGCTTTTAATTAATTTTGTTTTCTGAAATTAATGTACAGTTTTGGTACTATCTTAAAAAGAAATATTTATAATGCATCTTTACATTTATGCATGTGACACTAAAAACCAAGACCCCATAATTCTATTTACAGAATATTTCCATTTTAAAACACCAAACACCAAGGTACCGTATAAGAGTACAACTTTCAAGTGCATTAAGCCAGGAATTGGCAGGTGTACAACTGATACAATAAAACAAAAGTAGATGGTAGTTGGTTGTTGGGATTTGTGGTTGGAGGAAATATGCTGTATATAAAATAAGTAATATATATATATA